CTGGCCAAATGCCACATGACTACTTACAGATTTCAACACCTGTCCAATTTGGTTTATTATGGTTTGATCAGTTTTAGCATACAGCTGCCTCAAATGAGCAAATTTTCTACTTTGAAAAAACAAAATACAGTCAAATAATTTAGGTTAACCATTTATTTTACATTATTATTTAATAAGCATATCCCACTGTGCTAGAACTACTATATATATTAAATCCAAGTTATAACATGGTAGGCCACGTTAAATAGCGTAAGAATAGCTTGCCAAATGAAAACAATAAAAATAAATTAAAAGTAAATCTACTGTGACTTATGTATAAAAAGGATATTGGAAGAAAATTAAATTGCTTAATTTAGTAAAAAGCTGTGTGCCTCTGATGGTTTATGTTTATTTCCCAGTTACACAATTATATCAGCACTTCTGAGAGTAAAACCCCTTTTCGTGCTTACTTGAAGACGTTTCATTTATAACAACAACAGAAATAAAGCAAAACAAGCAAAGTATAGAATAGAGGAAAAATAAAACAAGTCGTACTCAATGGCTTTCAGTTTAGACATGAAAACACAGTCCCCTTGTAAATTATTCTGATTAGATTAAAACTTCATAGTAAATTTCATTGTCATATGTCATATTATATTAAAATGAATTAGGGTTATGTCCATTAGTGATTTTTACTTTGACAAATTCCTATGGGTGCAGTCAGTAAAGTAAGAATATGCATGTCATATAGGTATGTATAAAGAAAAGGCCATCTACACAGGACCCCACTTGCAACATTACATATAAAGTCCAAAACTGTTTAGACCTATAGGAATTTTTTTTTTAACCATTAGTTGGCTCTGCCCACATTCAGCAGCCCCATCATTTTACATGTATCATCACCCTAATCTCTTTGGGCTACACTTTTCACCACAAAGGTAAGAACAGAACCATTTCACCACCAAGGTAAGAACAGAACCATCTGCCTACTTTAAATCTGCTCAGAAACTTTCACAAACCTAATTAATGAATGCTCTGAAGTAAAAAAACTCACCTAAAAGATAGTTACATGTAGAATTATTTAACTCCCTGTATCCATATACACCTTATCACAAAGATGTTGACAGGACTGAATATTCTAGATGCTTTCTGACAATAATGCCCAAGACCTCTGAAAAGTATTCCCTATGCTTTTTAATTAGCAGTTCAAAAGTAAGATGCTATTTGACAGTGTCTAAGGACACAGTCTCTACTTTCTAGGAATTCGCAATCTCTGCCCACAAATCTTTCATGGAGCTGTTGGGCTTTCATGTGTTTATTTATGTGTGATGTGGGATAGGAAGAGGGACAAATTAACTAAATTTTTATAATGATAAGAAGAAAGGGAAAAAAAGGTATCTGTTGTCAGTACTGATTCATTTTAATTATACAAATAAGAGTGCCTACATGAATAGCAGATCATATCACCTTTTTGCTAACCTCTCAGACCTGCCAGAAATTAATAATTTATCGGAGATTTTGTTAAAGGAGAAAGGAAAGAGGTCAAACAACCTACAAATGTTGTAGGATCATGGATCTAGAGCTAGAAGGAACACCAAAGGCCATCCTATCCCCTTAGTTAGGCAGAGAAGGAGACTGAAGCCTGAAGAAGTCAGGCAGCTGGGTGCACGATTTAGACATAAAAGGGGCACCATAAGCAAATTAGAAGAGCAAGGGATAGTCTGCCTCTCAGATCTGTGGGGGAGGGAAGAATTCATGACTAAACACAAGAAGAGAACATTCCAAAATGTAAAAAAGAATTCTGATTATATTAAATTAAAAAGCTTTTGTACAAACAAAACCAACGCACCCAAGATGAGAAGGCAAACAGAAAGCTGGAAAACAATCTTTACAGCAAGTGTCTCTGATAAAGGCCTCATCTCTCAAATATGTAGAGAACTGAGTTAGATTTATGAGAACACAAGCCATTCCCAATTGATAAATGTTCAGAGGATATGAACAGGTAGTTTTCAGATGAAGAAATCAAAGTTATCTATAGGTATAAGAAGAAGTGCTCTAATCACTTTTGATTAGAGAAATGCAAATTAAAACAACTCTGAGATGGCACCTATCAGATTGGCTAATATGACAAAAAAGGAAAATGATAAATGTTGGAGAGGATGTGGGAAAATTGGGACACTGATTTTTGGTGGAGTTGTGAACTAATCAAGTCATTCTGGAGAGCAGTTTGGAACTATGCCTGAAGGGAAACCTAACTGTGCATACCCTTTGATCCAGGAATTCCACTACTAGGTCTGTATCCCAAAGAAATCATAAAAAAAGGGAAAAGGACCCACATACAAAAAGTATTTAGAGCAGCCCTTTTCATGGTGGCAAAATATTGGAAGTTGAGGGGATACCCATCAATTGAGGAATGGCTGAACAAGCTATGGTATACGAATGCAACGGAATCCTATTATGCAATAAGAAATCATGAACGGGCAGATTTCAGAAAATCCTGGAAAGAGTTGTATGAACTGATGCAAAGTGAAATGAGTATCAGCAACATTTTGTGATGACCAACTATGAGTGATTCAGCTCTTCTCAGCCACACAATAATTCAGGATAGTACAAAGACAGTACAAAGGACTCATGAAAATGCTATCCATATCCAGATAAAGAACTAATGGACTCTGAATGCAGATCAAAGCATACTTTTTTCCATTTATTTCATTCTTTCTCATGGTTTTTTTTTCCTTTTGATCTGTTTCTTCTTTACTGTGACTAATATGGAAATATTTTTACATGATAGCACATGTATAAACTGTATCGAACTGCCTACCACTTTCAGAAGAGGGGAGAGGAGGGAGAGAGGGAAAAAATTTAGAACTCAAAGTTTTGTAAAAATGAATGCCAAAAATTTTCTTGACATGTAATGAGGGGAAAAAAATGCTATTGAACTTTAAAAAAGAGTCAAGTGACTTTCTCCTTGTCCCACAAGTAGTAAGTAAGGCTCAGAGGTAGGATTTGAAAGTAGATCCTCTGACTTCAGAGCCCATATTCTTTCCAGTGTTCACCAAGCTTTGAATTTTACGTAGAATGCTTTTGTTAATGTTATTATTAATAATGCACATTTATGTAGTGCTCTCTATTCTAATGTTTTACCCAAAACAAGCTGATTTTTTTGATAGCCCCCAAAACAGCATCAATCAGTATAGGTCTGAAGCTTGGTGGAAAGAATATCATGAAGGAAGGGATGATTGTTGTAGGGGGTTGAGAAATTAACCCAAATCATCATAAAACACAGTATCATATGATCAACACTTATGAGAATTCCAAAACAAAGTGCTGTTGGGCCCAAGTCAGCAGATTGTTAACATGTGTTGGAAATTGGGGAATTGGGGGAGGAGGAAGTGGGAATGGGAATATTTGAACTGGACTTTAAAGGCATTTAAACAAGTATGAAAAGGTGGGTATGGAGAGGAAGACTCTGAACAAAAGGCACAGAGGGAAAATACAGACAATGTTTGGGGACCAAGAATAGTCCAATTTGACCAGAGTGTAGCATATATGGAAGGAAATAAGAGATAAGACTGGAAAGGAAAGGTGATAAATGGTGGAGACCACTGAGTGTTGGGCAGAAGGATTTGAACTTCAGTTGGTAGGCAGCAAGAACCCACAAAAGATTTGTGAACAATGGAATCACACAGCAAGATCTGGGCATGTGGAAAATGAGTCTGGCCATTTTGTGAACGTAGACTCAAGAGGATGAAGTTAAGGCAGACTGACTGAGGTAATTATTAAATTACCCCAAGCATGTGATAATGAGGGTTTATACTCTCATGTTGATGACCATGTAAATAGAGATGACAGATCTTCTAGACTTTTTTTTGTTTACTCACTTTTCAGTCTAGACTGTATTTCCACATAAACCTTGTCCTTCAAATTTGTCTTTGTCGTTGTTGTTCAGTCATTTTCCAGATGTGTCTGATCTTTGTGACTCCATTTGGTTTTTTCTTGGCAAAAATACTGAAATGAAGGGTGTGCCTTGGGCACATGGAGTACCATTTCCTTCTTCAGCTCATTTTACAGATGAAGAAACTGAAGCAAACAGGGTTAAGTGACTTGCCCAGGGTCACACAGCTAGTAGGTGTCTGAGGCCAGATTCGAACACAGAAAGATGAGTCTTCCTGGCTCCAGGTCTGGCACTCTCTCCACTGCACCACCTAGCTGCCCTTTCAAATTTGTCTAGGGAGGATATACCGGGAGAGGAATCTTTTTTTTTCTTTTTTTTTTTTTTTGGTAAATTTGATCTTAGGGTCACAAATCTAGGGATGGAAAGGATCTCAAAGGCCATCTTAGCCCAACTCCATTTTATACACAAGGAAACTAGATCCCACAAGGAGGTTAAGTAACTTGTCTGAGATCACTCAGGAAGTCTGAGAGGTCAGATTTGAACTCAGATCCTCCAACTCCAATGGTCATTATTTTAGTCTTACTCTGCTTTTGTTCTTTTGTTTGTTTGTTTTTACCAAAAACAGTATTTCCTGGCTTGACTATCTTGATTCACCCAATGAGGCAGCAAATTACTTTTGCCAATTTCCAAAGTTCAAATCTACTCTCCCACAATGGGGATCCCTCTCCCTTGAGGACAATCCAAAGACCATAATGAGATGTGTATAAGAGGAGCCCCACAGATATTTTGAACTATAACAGCATCATTGAAATGAGCATGGTCTTAATTTCCAAGGGGTAACTCTGAAGGGACAGTAATCACTTGGATTTATAAGTTTTGGTGTGTGTATTTTTTTAAATAAACCATATTACTTGATAGTCTCATCCCTTTTGCTTACAACTACTTTTTATGCCTGTGTAAATTTTCTCTTTAACAGTTTAACTTGCTTTTGAATTAGGGAATCTTCTTTATCAACTTCATCTTTTGTGTTAGCAGATAAAACATACTCATAGTTCACTTATTACTTTCTTCTGATCATGGTAAATTAAGGGAAAAAAATAAATGAGAACTTTCTTTTTCTTTTTAGGTTGTATCTCATTCACAGAAAAATCCAGCATTTCAAGATGCATGGAGCAGCGGTGATGAAGAAGGATAAATTTAAATTAGTTGATAGAATAAAAGGGACTTTATGCTCTCCATTGATGAGAATCTGGAAATTTAGACAATTTTCTATTGTCCAGGGATTTTATAAAGTTGTAAGAATAAAGTATTGGCACATAGAGATGTCCTTTTTTTTGGTCTTTCTGTATTTAAGTTAAAGATTAATAAAAATTAAATTAAAACAAAAAGAATAAAGTATCCCAGCTAATGAGATTGCCTTTCTTTGCTTTTCACGTTTCTCATAAGAGAGTAGGAGGTGTATTGGATTTGTGACCAGAAAGCCAGGATTCATATCCTAGATATTTGCCTACAGGCTGGCCATTTGACTTTACTGAACCTCAATTCCCTCCACTAAAAAAATGAGGATAATAATAATTGTACTATCTACCTCACACAGATATTGTGATGAAAGTGTTTTTTTTAAACTCTAAGGTGATACAGAAATGTGAAGCATTATTATGTAGATATCACAACCACACAAGAAGGCTTGATTTGTTTTTCTTAAACTAACCAAGAAGAGAGAAAAGCCAGTAGTCAACATTTTTTGAACACTTACTGAATGATTGCAAAGCATTGTATGAGTTTGCAGCCCTAAAGGAATTTGCAACCAAATAATGGGACTGCTAACAATATAAAACAATAGAATTGAAGTGATTTGAGTTCCAATTTTTACTATAACTTCATATGTGACACTAAGATACTTGACATAGGGACATCTAGGTGGCCCTGAAGTCAGGGGGACCTGAGTTCAAATCTAGCCTCAGACACTAGCTCTGTGGCCCCAGGCAAGTCATTTAACCCCAACTGCCTCCAAAAAAAAAAAGATGCTTGGCATAGCAATTTAATATTTAGATTTTCTTTATGTTAGTCATCAAGTTTTTATTAAGTGTCTACTCTGTGCTGGGCCCTGTGAATACAAATTCAAAAGGGAGACATTTCTCTTCCTTTAAGGAGCTTATGTGCTAATAGAGGAATGTAGCACACATAGAGAAATGCTTGACAAAGAAGAGAGTTTTGATCTAGGTAGATGCAGGGATTGGAAGTGAAGTTATAGAGTGGTAGATTATTCCCTTTCTAGTAGAAAAAATAACATTGATTTATTGTCGGTTTGGGGTCTTGTGTTTGTTTTGCAAGGGATGGGGAAGTGTTACTCAGCAGGATTGATGACAATATGCTCATATTGTAGAGACTCACATCTTGGCAGATTCCAGTATGGGTGGTGAACCAAGGGTCTAGAGCCCACCAAATATAATGGATTGAATTTTCAGCTACCAATCAGGACAGCCCAGGAAAGAGTGCCAAATAATACTAGAATCTACTCTAGTGCCTAATCATGGCAAGAAAATTACCCAGAATTGTCAGCTATTAACCAATAGAACTCAAGCTCTGATGGTTCTTAGCAAGTAAAAAGAATTGAAGTTCTGTGATAGACTGTAGAACTCTTCTTCAGCATTCCCCTAGCCTCATTTTCTCTCCTGAATTCCAGTTCAGCATCAGCAACTGCCCATCGATCATTTCAAACTGTGAATATCTCCCAGACAACTTCTTCCCTCATTACATCCTGGAAGAGGTGCAAGGGAAAAAAGCAAAGAACAACTCCATCTCAAGAGCTGGGTTCTTCCTGCATACCTGGCTTTCTTCTTGACCAGTAGAGAACATAGATTCCTCAGTTTGCTCTTGCTTTTTAAGGCCAGGAAGGGTGTGACTGATCCTTCCTGTGAATGGCTATTCAATCAAGTTGACTGAGGAACTTCTTCACACCAACTAAAGAAGTAAAGATGTGAAAATACTTCTTTATACTTCCTTTGCATTGTGTACACATAATTTGAAAAGGGCAAACTCTTTGAAAAGTGCAAATGAGCCACTTTAAAGACTGAGGAATGATAACTATCAATTGGTTTGGTGTAGATAAATCTAATGGAATACTATTGTGCTATAACAAATGAAGAAATCAACAGTTTGAAAGAAACTATGGAGGAAATGATGCTGAGGAGAGTGAACAGGATCAGGCAAACAATTTATACTGTAACAACATTTTGAAAACAAACTTTGAAAGACTTAACTCTGATCAATGTAATAACTGGCCATGATAGTAGAAGACTGATGAGGAAGAATGCCACTTACCTGACATAAAGGTAATGGAGTAAAATATGCAGAATGGGATACATTTTTTTATCTGGTCAATGTGAGAATTTGTTTTACTTGACCATGTATATTTATGATAAGGGTTGTTCTTTTCTTTTCCTGGAAGGGGGGATATGAGAGGGAGAAAAAAATATATGTTTGTTGACTGAAAAAAATTAATTAAAAACAAAGATTATGGAAGGCTTTCACATTTTCTAAAGTGTAACCACTTCTTCACACTTCCTTTAAACTGGCCAATCCCCGAGGCTTTCTCATCTGAAAAATGGGGGAAGAGAGCAGTGGGGTTGGACTAAATAACCTCTGAGGTCCTTTCCATCTACTTTAGATCTATGATACTATGATCCTTACATCTAGTAATTTCATCAAGTTGTTTGGGGGGAATCATTTGACCAGATTCTACTAATACTCCTTTCCCCCATTACAACACTAATATAGAGTGTAATATGAGAAAATTGCCTAGAACTTTTGAAGATAGACAATAAAGCACTGATGAATTGCTTCCACAGATCACTATCAAGAGGAAAACCCCAGTGCTTGAAATTGCCAGGAATGTAGTGACTATGTTTCACAATTTCAATGGCAAATTCTGCAAACAAACAAAAAAGCCTTCAGCTATCAAAATGTCATTTCTAATAACTGAAGATTACTCTGTAGCCACAAGAAATTTGAGAAAACAATGGAATATAATATTAAAAAAAAAAGAAGAGATCAAGTTGAAACCTGTCCTGCAAAGCTGACCTTAAACATCAATGAAGAAGGGGAAAAAAAACTTTCAACAGGAGAGGCAGTAGAGATGGCCAGGACATTTCACATGCAAATACTCTGAACAAGACAAAAAAAAAAGTAAAATAGAGCTCTTCTCAAGAAAAAACTAAGCAATGAAATAAATGTTTATGTTTATAAGCAATTGGGTTTTTTTTAAGTGGATTGAGGAATAAAAAGAGGATCTATGATATTGCAGATCGACGGGTAGCAAAGGGTTGGAGGGGTTATGGAAGAATGGAAAGCAACCATGTTGGAATCAGAGCAAGCAACACATTTATTGGGCTGAGATCATGTAGTTCCAAGTGCCCACAGTGTGCCATAGACAGCATTCAAGGCAACTGGGTACTCAACAGGCTTCAAACCCTAAGGAGAAGACTTGAGTATTGGGCATGAAGCCTTATATGAAGTTTCAGTTACTGAGAATCTCTGGGCTCACCACACAATCCCATCAATCTAGAAGCAGCAAGAACAAAGAGCAGGTTTGAGGAACAATGCATGGATATGTGGTTTGGAGAGAGCACATTTGGGAAACAGTATCATATGAGCCTTGCAGACCTTACATAAGTATTGCCTCAGGGCATTCAGATGAAAAAAGAAATAGATGGCTTGATAATGTGGAGTCATCTTCCTCAGACATGAAAACCTGGCCCCAACAAAGATATAAAGGTTTCTTGAATTAGATAAAAGGAAGGAAGAAGCAGAATTAATGTTATATGGACTAAATTAACATAATTAGTTAATTAAATTATGTTATATGGACTAAATCCCATACTTCTCCATAAGCAAATCTTTTTTTGAGGGTGAGAAGCAGCAAATTAGTGAGATGCGTGGAGAGATGTGAAGCAAAAGATGGGAATTGTGGAAAAGTAGGCTAAAAGCAATGGAAGGAAGGGACTAGGATAAGGAGACTAGGAGTTAGGTTTCATGCTAGATAGGGAAATGAAATGACATTAAAAACATTCTTGTGAGAGGAAAGAGGTGGTAAAGGAGCCTTATAATGGGTTTTATCTGGGAGAAATAGGCCAATTAGGAGTCTGCCTTCAAGAAGTTATACTTCTAAGCACTACATCCCACACCAAGAAAAGGCAGGTGCAGGTCTCAAGTGACAGACGGAACCCAGCTTGGTAGAGGAGACATAAAACCAAAGATAGATGTCCTGGCTTAGGAACAGAAAGTGATCGTGGTAACAGAAAAGGGTAATAGTGGGCCTCAATTGGATGTGCAGAGTAACCTGTCTTTGTTAAGACACTACTACTTTCATGGATCAATATTTCTACAAGCAAGATACTTTAAAAAAAATTTTAAGCACCAAAAACAAAAAATTAAATGTATGTACAAGAGGGAAAGGTGCAGGAAGGGGTGAGATCTGCAAATGCAATAACAGAAATGAGATCAAGGAAATATTTCAAATTTGATACTCCACAAGCTCTGCCTTCAGAATAAACAAGGAATAAGAGAGTATATCTCACGAATGGGAAAAATAATTCATAAGTTACTATAAGAGGATAAAATAAGGAGGACAAAGTAAATTAAAACACAGAACACCACAAAAGAGACACATAGGACACCTAAGAGACTGTAGGGCAGTAGGAGGAAAAATTTTGAACTAGACACTTATCTAAGCAGGGAAAGATAAAGACTCAAGGTGGGGGAGGGAATGCCAAACTAATCAATAAGAAGAAATTAAAATGTAAATCAATTGGATTTCTGAAATCACATTGGTTTCAGAATTCCTGGAAGTCCCCCAGTGCACAGAATGCCCAGGAGCTACATTATTCCAGTCTTCTGCAATGTCAAAAAGAAAAGTATTGGCTTCAGAATTCTTCAACTTTAAACACAAAAACAAAACTTATTTAGGGAAGGCCTCTAATATTTAACAAGATCTCTTGTGAAAAATTGGAAAGTAGTTTGTACCTCCCCTCACTGTAAAAAAAAAAAAAGATCTACACCAACATCGGACAGCATTATACCATAATAAGTTCTGAATGAATAGGTGACTGAAATGTAAAAGTCAGATCATTTTTAAAAAATGCTTTGTAGAAAATGAATAAAAACAGTAGCACAATATATAGAGTAGGAAATTCATAGCTTAGGAGACCCAAGTTTGAATCCTGCCTCTGACACTTGCCAGCTATGTAATCTTAGGCAAATTATTTAACTTCTATAAGCCTCATTTTCTTTATCTGTGCAATGAGTGGATTCGACTAAATAGTCTCTAACATCCTTTATGGGCAGCTTGGTAGCACAGTGGATAGAGTTCTGGGCCTGAAGTCTGGAAGACTCATCT